ATGGGATTCTGGGATTCTGGGATTCTGGAACCACTGTTTTGGTTCATTGAGCAATCTTCAGGGCTGTTTGTGATGAAGAAGTGAGAATGATTCAAGTGTAATTTTGTAAATGTGGTGGACGTCATTAGATTTTTGCAGTAACTTAGTTGAATGTCATCTTCCTGCTGCATTATTTTATTTTTTCTAAAACAAATTAAGTCACACCTTTCTTTCTTGGCCACAGTGAAAATCCATACATTCCAGATCTCAGGCTAAAGTTATTTTGAATATTTAAGTGTTATAAGAAAGAGAGTGAATGGGACTATATGTGGAAGATGGTAGCAGACTGGATGAAAATTCAAAATATAAGATTAAATAATTCACAGTGATTCTGTAAACTCTTGTAATACACACTGAATAGAAATATGAGACTCTTATTTACAAAAAGTTAGTGTATAATTTTTGTGAGGGAAAAGACTTCTGCATTAAATCTCACATCCATTCTCCATTCAATGACAGAGAAACTAAGGTCTTTTTTTAATATATAAAATAATATATTCATATTATTTCCCTAAAAAAAAAAAGCTTTATGGTGGGGATTTTTAATAGGGAAAAGACTTCTGCATTAAATCTCACATCCATTCTCCATTCAATGACAGAGAAACTAAGGTCTTTTTTTAATATATAAAATAATATATTCATATTATTTCCCTAAAAAAAAAAAGCTTTATGGTGGGGATTTTTAATAATTTGGCATTAAGCAGTCTATTGCTGATCATTATTTCTTATTGTAATTGAATTTTTATTTCTTTGAGGCTTAAAGCTACATAGTCCAGCGCTCCCTGTCTTAGGGAACGAGTTCAATTCTACAACCTACGGCATAGTGACACCATTTCTGTTTCTGTTTTTGTTTTCCTCTTGGTGATCAGTGACAAGTATTTGAAGAGTTGCTGTCACACCTAGATAGTTATTTGAAACAGCAAATATTTTATGTTTGCTTTATGACAGTGTTGTCCAAACTTGGCCACTTTAAGATGAGTGGACTTCAACTCCCAGA